CAACGTAGTGAACGTACTACTTACATGGTTATAATGCAACGTAGTGAACGTACTACTTACATGGTTATATATAATGCAACGTACAGTGAACGTACTACTTACATGGTTATTATGCAACGTACAGTGAACGTACTACTTACATGGTTATAATGCAACGTAGTGAACGTACTACTTACATGGTTATAATGCAACGTAGTGAACGTACTACTTACATGGTTATATATAATGCAACGTACAGTGAACGTACTACTTACATGGTTATTATGCAACGTACAGTGAACGTACTACTTACATGGTTATAATGCAACGTAGTGAACGTACTACTTACATGGTTATAATGCAACGTAGTGAACGTACTACTTACATGGTTATATATAATGCAACGTACAGTGAACGTACTACTTACATGGTTATTATGCAACGTACAGTGAACGTACTACTTACATGGTTATAATGCAACGTAGTGAACGTACTACTTACATGGTTATAATGCAACGTAGTGAACGTACTACTTACATGGTTATATATAATGCAACGTACAGTGAACGTACTACTTACATGGTTATTATGCAACGTACAGTGAACGTACTACTTACATGGTTATAATGCAACGTAGTGAACGTACTACTTACATGGTTATAATGCAACGTAGTGAACGTACTACTTACATGGTTATATATAATGCAACGTACAGTGAACGTACTACTTACATGGTTATAATGCATGCAGTTTACTACATTGGTCATTGGTGAATAATGGAAGTCCACGCCTGGACGAAGACCGAAAACCACCATCATTCCTGACAAAAATGAACGGTCTCTTAGACAACTATTAACAATCATCAAATGTGTCATAAATTAATTCATAAATATGTGTCAACCTATTATACTCGTTGTTTATCTAAATTTTGTGTTTGAATTTTTGCACTCACATATTATGGCATGGGCGTCCGCGGAAGCGTGCCAATTAAAAATTAATGGTATACATGCAGGTGAAATTGACTGATAATGAGCTGTTGCGTCAGAGGCAACGATAAGGATAATTAAATATCCGGAGTTTTTTTTCTTATCAGTTTAGTTAATATTACGTGAGTTTAAAAACTAGTACGTCTAATGTTTTTTGGAACATAATCATCTGGGTGAAGTGCAAAATCTGGGTGAAGCTTAGTGTATGAAATTTAAAGACTTAATTAGGAATAAAAATGTACTTACACGCGATGCAAACCTCGATATCAGATCATGTATCAGGATAGTAATTTCAACTGATGTCAGACAAGAAATTCGGCGTATGTTTTCTGACGTGGTATATATATATAGCGTGTCAGTTTTGTTTCGTGAACACTAGAGTGGAACTAATGACTTCGACACAAAAAAACGATTCGTTACGACTGAAGTGGAAAACGGCCTCTAGGCCCTCTACTGGCTTCAGCGTATTCAAAGGTAGCTTAACCTACAGCCTGCAAACAGCCTCTCGAGACTATGGGGACTGGGGTAAGGGTTTGAAATCCCAGCAAAGTAGTCGAGTATTTGAACTGACTTCTCAATAGAGCGTTTGTACTTATTCCCCAGGGACCAACTCAACAAAAGCCATGGCGGCCATGTTAGTGTTCCAGACAAAAGAGTCTAATTAAAATTATTTTGAATTAGAACACCAAAATGGCGGCTGTGACGTCATGTGCAATCGGCTATATATTAACGTTGTAATGTACATAGTTTCAAGGTGCTAGTACTTAAATTAATGTAAATTCAAAGTGTCCTGCAGGACGTCTTCCCGTAGTTTCAAAACACTGGACACCCCTTTGACCCTTTCATGGGACGTCCCATAACTACAGAAGGAATTAAGCACTTATTGAGTAATAACCTTGAAAACCGATACAATATAGCCTTTTAAGTAAAGAGGGGGATTTTGGATCTTCAACGTCACATTGGTTTGAAATTAGTTTTTATTTATGCCCAAAGTTTCCTTTGAAAGCAAACATTTGCACAGAAACCACAACAAACATCTAAAGAAACGTTTTTGCGTTCTAGATGCTAAATATTATCAGGAAGGAACAGCATTTACGATGAGCAAACCGAATTTACTTAGGTTTTCACTTGTCCTCAATTGCTCCAAATTGGAGATCAAAAACTAAATGTATTTTGCTGATACTAAATGTTATTCATTTCTGCATTTTCTGATAAAACTTGACATGCTCAATACTAAATAATTTACTTACGTGTTGCTTGTGGTTTCAGTGCAAATATTTTGTTTGCTTTTAAAGATCTTTTAAGCATAGATCTCTGAGCATAGATTAAAATTTCATCTAGTTATGTGACCAGTTAATACGTATTGTTAGGTTGAAATTCGAAATTTCCATATTACGGCTTAAAACACCATATGCCTATTACCCCACATGTGCTTTATTACACCCTTTCGATAATTTTACGCCATTTGACATGACAACCTCGCTCTCATGAATCATGAGCCAATCACTTTGCGTAATGTACTAATGAGAGCGAGGCTCCAATACCAAAAAGTATGTGTGACGTAATTATCGAAAGAGTATATTCTGGTAGCAGTAGTGTGACGTCATCATAAGGGGTCTTGATTTAATTATAACGTTCATTTCATTGTTAATAAAAATTCGTCAACAAGTAATCGAATTTTGGCGTGCTATCGTGCGTTGCGTGTTGGGAATAAACATTCACCTTTTCCATCAAAATAATGATCAGGCTTTTTGATACACCCTGTATATCTTATAAGTGTTACTTATACTGGTATTTATTTAGATATTGGGTCAAGTAGTTTATAACAGAAACACTTCACATTACTGAGACGTGCTGGATAACGACATTATATCGTCAGATATATTTATTTTTGTATTTTTTGCATACCCTTCATATAAATGTTTATATTTTTTCTATATCAACCATATAGCTACACAAGTAACTTGAACGTCTTGAAGTAAGTAACCCGATTAGGTTCTTTTATTTTGATCTTAAGTTAATTCACAATTTCTTTTTATCTCAATATCGATAATTACTTTTTTATCATTTTTAAACACAATTGAGTATAGAACCTTCAGACTCGGACCTTTATATTTACCGAGAAATTTACAGTAGATTACGTTTTCAACCTGGTATTTCTATCAGACTGGAATTAATCCGTTCCCTATACCTCGCCCCCTATGGATTATAGCCAGTGTCTCCAGGAAAAATGCCAGCATATTTTCTTGCCAGGCCCAGGTACTACATTTTCGTTCCATTCATACTTTCGACTCGCGACCGTGGGTTGATCACTCCTAAATTTATACGAAGAAAAGTTTGGTGATTTTTTACTTTAAAATTATTATGTTTTGCTTTTTCATCGTGATTTTTTATTTTTTTGAATGATATTTTGATTTTTTATAATTGCGCGCTGAAGACGTGATTAAATTTTGAAATAAATAGACTAAGTAAAACAGTGGGTTAAATAATAATTTCGTGAAAGGAAGACAAGACTTCCTGAGTCCTTCCCAATTTTAAATTAACTCAAAATTTAATCTTTCAAATGCGAGAAACCAAAGACCAACGGCGCGGAATGCGCGCGTCATCAATCATCACTTACATAAGCCGATGCAGATGTTCATGATATCAATATAAACTTGCTGTACTTATTAGCATCAGGTTCATATTTCGTCTCAAGCTTCATAACACCATCATCATTGACCAAAGTATTTCATTTGTCAAGTATATATATAGGTACGGTAAGTAGATTTTATTTATATATCCTTACCGACGTTTGTGCATGCATGGAAGCAGGTTTTTCGTTCGTTACTCGGTATGACATAAAGACTCTTTTAACTTGAAGAAAAGGTCTTCCTACAAGCTATTCTAATCTATCTTGTACTTTAATTCCAAACAGAGAGCCTTCCAGGCCCACATCACGGAACTGTTTCTAAACTATACTGTTGTGGACATGACAACCAATACGCATTATATAAACTGCGCGCTGCCGTGAGACGCAGACTGTAATGTTCAAGTGAAAATTCATTTATAAAACAACACAAGTCACAACATACTAACATATACTTCGTAAACGCCAGGTACGGTACGTACGTATACGACAGTGTTGATCATGTAGCCATTGCCTTGCCCTTGGAAGCTTAAAATAAATTTTCTATAAAAGTGTGCATTTTTACATTGCATTGGCTACTAGTACAACTGTACAAGTACAGCTACGTCGACGTTAATATATTTCGACACAGTTCTGGTTTCAACAATAATCAACAGTTATATTTGTATTGTAGTAGTTTCTCGGGATTGATAAATTGTTACCACACTATCAGAAATTAGAGTAGAACAATTTAGACTTAGGCCTATCAATTTGTTATTGCCAACTGAAAATATGTTTTTCGAGAAAGTTCGCTGAGAAGCATTAAACGTTAATCTGTCATGATGTGATCTTACATCCTTTCTATAGCACAATGGAATTTAATCACTTTATCTGTGTTAATTTTGTATACATATTACTTCTGATCTTAAGGTGGCTCTCTACAATTCTCTAAAATTTAAGTCCAGGACCATTCCTCTATCATTTTAGTTTAAAAGATGTTTGCTGGAGGTATTTTGCTGCTGATTAGCATTTTGCAGTGGTCTGCAAAGTCAGGTAAAACCCGTAAAATGAGGTTTGAGAAGTTATTTCTGTAAACATTTTGATTCTGACTCCTCTTTTATCAAATTTATGTTTTGCAGTGTTATGGAGCTTAATTAAAATAGCTCACCATTACATACTATATGTCATGTGATAATATTATACCTCAAATTCAAGTGTCCAATCAGAAAGCTAAGTTCGTGCACGTACGTGACATAACATTTATCATCGAATCACGTCTTGCGTCATCGTAGTTGACGTAGTGGGTGATTTCAGTCATATCACACAGTGACACAGGGCGATTTGATCATATCACCCGGGTGATTTGATTGGCGTAAACCACGCGCGGCGATCACAAATTATTAAGTTTTCAAACTTCAAAGAAAGCTATTTTATTTTTTAATTATGTGATGCAAATTTTGAAAAATCATCATATTCCAAACTATATGTGATTCGAAATAAAAGTGACAAATCTTGCGTTAATTAAAAAATAAAACATCGTATTCACGAAGGTATATGGCAAGTTTTATATTCTCAACTTGGGGGCTTTTAATTTTCGGAATAATATATCATATTATATCATTTATAGATTCTCCGCTCGGGGGATTCGGCAAAATATTACCCTCGTGATGATATTATCACTTCGGGTAATATTTCGCTGAATCTCCTCAGTCAACTAGGTCTATAAATGATAAATATTTAATATGAGTCGTGTTTTTTGCTTGTGAAAGTTATTTTTAAAAAGCTGAGGAAAAATGCCGTCTGGGTCTCATTAGCTTGCATGCACCATATTGAAAAATACTGAATCTTTTTATAACCTGACATGGGAATACATGGAGTGCGCAATAGTACTAATCATACTACACGCGATGAAACCCTCAAAGCGACAACGCTTAATGACTGACTCGTCCCCAGTCGCTTACCTAACGCGCGTTGAATTACCCAACGCGCTGAATGCGTTACTAAGCAGTGTTAGGGACGCCTCGGGGCATTTCTATGGTCCTTTGCGTTATAAGCAGTGTTACTGAGGGACTGTGGAAGAGTCAGGCTTAATGACAGGCTTAAAGATATAGCACATTTTTTTTATTTGCTTCTCAAGATTGATTGGTAATTAAACCACTTGTCACAATTAATGATTACTTTTCTATATTGGTCTATATTGACTATCAGCCCTAATCAACTGTTATTTTTGCTGCCTTCGGTTAATGTATTTTTTCATTATACTATTTTAAATATGATATGCAGTCGCGATATATTCGAATGCGCAAGTTGTTGACCAAGGTGGTACCTGAATTTAATTTATCCTAGCATTGGCCATTTGCCCGAATTTCCATGGTTTCCTAAAGATTTTTTTTTAGGAGGGGAGCAATTGCACCTATGTTTTTCACTTTAGATCGTTACACTGTGCGTGCCAAACAGCTAATTCCATATGCATGTAATTGCGCGAGCAGTGCGTGCAAGGCACACCTCATTGACCTCAACAGCGGCACCTATTAACCTCATTAAAAAACAGTTGACTAAAAGTATTTCAATATTTCATTGTTTAATCGAATACGCCTTTCAGCAATGGGTTCCACCAACTGTGGTTCCACCTAACAATTTACGCGCTGCATTGTTGAAAACTGGTTAGGCTATATTTTATATATATATATATATATATATATTATCAGTTTTAGTCGTTCTCCAGCATTTTTGTATGAAAGTTATATAGACTATAAAATAGTCGTCAAATACGAACTGTTGTAATTAGGGTTGGGCGATATTAAAAAAATCGTCTCACGATTATTGTCAAGCAAGTTATCAAGATATTCGATAATATCGCGATAAATGCAATACAAACATGACCACATTTTTCAATTTTAATTAATATCAAAGCGGTATTATAGTAAGTTATAATCTTATTAAAAAACAAGTAAAAACAACAAATTAAAGTAATATGAAGGCTTTTTCTAGTCTAATATTTACTGTTCATAAACCAGAACTGTATATGCATTGTCTACTATGTCTCCGCTGGCACAAATGCTGTGGGCACACGGCCCAAGCAAAGCCTGCAATTTCATTGTTCAGTGGATTAATACATAAATATTAGCTTTTGTGGCGCACTAAATTCGTATTTAATTCAGGAAATAGTTTTAATTCTTTTAAGAACTATATTTTCTAGGAACTGAAACAATTTTTTAGGATTTTATGTACACATGCGCAGCAAGATCACGATAGTCTTCGACCATGACGATAATTTCGATATATCGTCGCTCAAGTTTCTACCTTCGATACGATAATCGCGATTGAAAATATCGCGATAAATCAAAATATCGCCCAACCCTAGTTGTAATGCCTATAGACGCGCCCGTTGAAGAGAAAGCTGAAATTTGCAACATTTATTTATAGGGAGCATTATATTTGTATTGCAAGGAACGTAAAGAAAGTAATTGTCTACTAAACTCCAGCGCCGGATTTGCGCTAATTTGTAATTTTTTTCCAAAATTTATCACTTGTTTTGCTCTGTTATCGTATTCCCATGGCATTGGTCAATTCTCAGATTATACTGGTTTAGTGCTTCCTATGTAGCAGCTGCAAAGAACTCTTGTTACATTTTTTGGTAATCCTTTCTATTTTCTAAGAAACCTATTGAATATTTGAATATGCTCTAATATTTGCTAATTTCTTTTTCTGGTATTCTGTGCTCGCAGCACCTGCCTCTGCTCGATTAATAGACTTTACTAAACTATCGCTATTACGGGATGAACCACCAGCAACTTCATGCACCAACAATCTGGTTCCGTGGCCCTGGGCCAAGCTTGAAAACTTGATCCATCATAACAGATATTATATGCATGGTCGATTGAGAATGACGTATTTTGGAAACCCTGTATTTGTAAAAGTTCTATACTGAATCTTGATTTGACGTTTGTGTTTTGCCGTTTGACGTTGAAGGCCTGAAGGGTGGCCTGAAGGGTGGCCTGAAGGGTGGCCTGAAAGGTGGCCTCAAAGGTGGCCTCAAGGGTGGACTCAATGGTGACTCAACCGTTCAAACGTGAACTGTATTACTGTATACGTCAAACGTCAAGTAGAGCCTATAACGAAATGCATCAATTACTATATTGCTATATAGGTTTTCAATTTATCCTTATTGCATACAATTGCTACAGTATGTTACTATGTTGTTAAACAGTAAATTTCGTCTTTCGAGGTAAATTTTTAAATTTAAAATTTTACCATTTAGTTTCGTTACAACTCTCAAACCACAAATGTATAACTGAAAGTGGAAAGATTTACACCAACGGTTCAGTTTTTACTGACAACGAATGTACAACAAAATGTGAATGTTTGGACGACAGTGTTATCTCGTGTCAGCCCATGTGTTTAGTCACGAAAAACGATAATTCTTGTGCGAAACTGAAGATCGCTTATACGCCGGTTGGCTTACCTGATGCTCAAGGAAGATCTTGTTCATGTCCATCCTTCATTTGTGAACCAGGTATCACTCATTATATATAAGACGGAAACTTCAGCAGCAGCAACAGCAGCAACAGCAACAACAACAACAACAACAACAACAACAACAACAACAACAACAACAACAACAACAACAACAACAACAACAACAACAACAACAACAACAACAACAACAACAACCAACAACAACAACAACAACAACAACAACAACAACAACAACAACAACAACAACAACAACAACAACAACAACAACAACAACAACAACAACAACAATAACAGCAGCAGCAACAACGAGAATTAACAACAACAACAGCAACAACAACAACAACAACAACAACAACAACAACAACAACAACAACAACAACAACAACAACGACGACGACGACGACGACAACAACAACAACAACAACAACAACAACAACAACAACAACAACAACAACAACAACAGCAACAACAACAATAATGATCATGTGTGTTCAGTGGGAGACTCCCAAGAATCAGACGGTTGTCTAACACAAGTGATCATTTCTGTCCGACTTAGAACATGATCACATCCACGAAGAATTATTTGTTTCTTTATATTTTTGGGAAGTATTTTTTATTATATGTTTTTTTTTATCGATGACCCACTGTTATTGCTATATGAAGCTGGATATGAGAGAGTTAATGGGATATAAACCACTGAAATGAATTCTGATTGAGTGAGTATAGGTGTGATCGTGTGCTACAAAGTATTATCATGCACTTCTATTTAGATTTCTGTTCTGATGGCGGGAAAACTTATAAACCTGGTGATAGCTTTATTTCTGCTGACTGTTCTAGTTCATGTGTTTGCGGTGCAGGGGGAAGTGTATCCTGTGTGAGTCTGTGTCCACCGACCTATGTCCAATGTGATGTGGATGAGGTGAAAATTCAATATTCACGTAAAATTGCCAATAGTGATTGTACATGTCCAGATTGGAAATGTGTGAAAGTAAAACGGACAGGTAAATAGTAAGATTTAAATATATAAAATTATAATATAGCATTTTGTAAATTCTGAACGCTGATTGGCTAAGAGCCGTGTTGAAATAATTCAATGTCAAACGGAGAATTTCTTTCTTTATATTTCATTGTGCTATATTATAAAAAAAATAGAACATTTTCCCGTATTGATATATCAACACTTGTGGAAATTGGGAAAACTCGAAATTGTGTGAAAACACTCCGCCCTCGGGGCGACGTGTGTTTCCACACAATTTCTCGTTTTCCCAATTTCCACTCGTGTTGATATAATTTATATATCATATATATATAATTTGTTAAATATTATATATAATTTGTTAAATATTAAAAGAAACATTACAAAAGAAATATTAGAGTAGCAGTGGCGAGTGCTCAATATATACGATATATATAATTCTATAAAGATAGCCTGCGTATAGCTGGCGATTTGCGTATAGCTAGCGATTTGGGTTGGGAGTAAAATCCCGCGCCTCGCCTCCATAAATCACGTGTCCACAATGGCAATAAGAATAATTTAATTTTAGTTTTATATAGGGATCATAATTGCAAGCGAAATGGCCATAGTGCATTAGTGCTTCGATCGAGAACCTTTAGAATATCGATAAATACATTCTGTATTTTCAAATTTTTAAGCAAAACTTTAATGACCACGATATAAAGTTACAACTTTACTACATGCACTTATTTAATACGATACAATAATTTTACATGCACTTATTCAACCTCGTACCATGCAGGGTTAGCCGCGAGTTGAAGGCAGTCGCTGCCACTTTGTTGGTTGGCGCTTATTTAACACGATACTGTAACTCCTGTAATAACGTATACAGTTATTTCAACATTTTTGTAACAAACGTTTTCGTTTAGTCATCTGTAAATGAGGTAGCACAATTTTATCAGAAAGTGTTAGGCAAGGTTTATTTTCAGGTTTCTTTGTCCTAAAACTGTACAAGACAAAGCAAGGACCACGTGTTAAGCACCGTCCAATCAGCAACAAGGGAATGATTGAAGTGATTCCCTCTCATATTAACTTTTATAAAATTGATCTGGCAATTTGAAAAACTAACAAAATTAAACTAACAGAAGATCTATTTCCCTGATACAAAGCCAGTACAACTGACGGAGGTCGCATGCATCTAAAGCCAATGGCAATGGGCTCGAGCCATAGCCTTTAGCTTTTTCACATCTAGTGCCAACTTTGTGTGTCTATGTGTCTATATATACTCCATTTTTATATTATTTTTGGACGACTCATCGCAAAATAATCGTGAATTGCTAAGCTAAGCTAAGCTAAGCTAACCTAAGCTAAGCTAAGCTAAGCTAAGCTAAGCTAAGCTAAGCTAAGTCAAGAATATTATTTTTCGCATATTTTTTTATATAGTGCAAGATCAACTACCAGCGACAACGACCCAACCACGAAAAATAAAGAAACAGCAATGTGCGTCTACAAATGGAAAGATTTACGCCGTTGGTCAAGAGTTTACTGACATCAATTGCAGTTCTCGATGTCAATGTAAAGACGATGGTGTACTTACATGTATGCCTCTGTGTATGGTCTTGCCTGAAGACAGTTTCTGTGCTAAACAAAATATTGTACATATTCCAATCAAATTGTCTGATGCTGAAGGCAGAAGCTGTTCGTGTCCATTAATCATGTGTGAAGCGCATGAAGTCAAGGAACAAGTTCACATTAATATTAATGGTACCACCTATAAGTTTATTTTAATACCTACAGCGGTTTCAACCTTACTATATGTTTTGTACCAAGTACCAATGAGTTAAAGCACTGTATGATATTGCGTAGCTTAACAGTTAGAAACTCTGTACTGAAAGTGGTAATGTAAATTAGTTCCCTTTTTGGCGTCATACTGCTAGACGCCATCAGCTGTCGACTATATATAGCCGGACGGGAATCTGTGGTCGATCGGGAAATGCAAGGATTCACGTCTTTGGAGCTTGCGGGATAACATTTGTTTACACTAATGCCCATGCGTGAATGGTTCGATCGTGGAAAACACGAGCATGCATCATGCATAGGGAATTTCCAAGTATTACTTAAAACCGGTGTGTTTACGCTTATGTCCATAAATGATATACTCATGTTTTAACCGCAATTCGTAATTTCGACTGTGATGGGATTATTTCTCTTTATGAGAAAGTTGGTCGGTTTCACAGCGGATTATGTCCTCCCCCGTAGGATGGCTAACGCTGAGCGATCCTTGTTCATTTTCATCCTCATTCTAGTCCATGTTCATTGTCACCATCCAAAAAATCACCTCACTAGGATGATGTCTCTAGCTTGCACGAAATTCCTGATCAGTGCCTAACGTTCACGTGACTGGGACTTTACGTTCAACATTACAGCAACTCTACAATAATGAAACAGAATCTCTTCAATTTCTCTTTTTATCTAGAATTCTGCTACGATGGTGGAAACAAGTATAAACCAGGAGATCGTTTTATTACTGCTATCTGTGATGGTTCGTGTGTTTGTGGACCAGGGGGGACTGTATCTTGTGTCAGTTTGTGTCCACCTAAAGATATTAGATGTACTGTAGATGAAGAGAAAATTGAGTTTTCACGTAAAATTGCCAACAGCAACTGCACGTGTCCAGCATCGAAATGTGTGACAAGAGAAACGAGAGGTTAGAATAACTACAAGATTTACTTACTCCCAGGCTCTTCCCTCTTGTGTTGGATTTACCATCAGTGGCGTAACGCAACCGCTGGGGGCCCTCCGTCAATCGGCCACTTTGGGCCCCTTTACTCCACTAAAAATAGGCTCCAAAAATTTTTCTCGGAACAATTTATTTTTGGCGACCCCCCCCCGTCGCCAAAAAATTTTTGGACATTGTACCATTTTAGGGGTCCAAAATTTTTTCCGGACATACCCAATGAAATTGCAATTAATTCATTCTAGTATCTCGTCCTTTACCTCAGCCGCGACGTACTTAATCGTCGTAATTAATGTTTTTTTTTTATTCAATTCAATTCAATTAATTCAATTCCCCAGAAATGTGCTATCAAATTTTTTAAGGTCATTTTTGTCGGGGGCCCCTAAAGTTTGGGGGCCCCCCGTCACTGGACACCCTGACACCCTCCCGTTACGCCACTGTTTACCATTTTAGCAGAAGTGCACTCTCCTCCTGCAGCGACTTTATGCATGTATAGAGTTTACCGAACTGAGTATATAATGACATGGAAGACGACATGGACCGCAATTTTTATTTGCAATAGTATACTTAGTGCTTGGTCTGCTAAAGCCGACCTCTTTTGATCACTTTTGCCTTGATATATTGTATAGTAAGGAAGCAAATCATTGACTCAAACATATAACTTTTATAACACATGTTTACCGTTGTAAATAGGACATCACTTCTATATATTATGTCTTGTTTAGATGTTCGCTCTGGGCAGGAGATTAGTGTTTGTATTATTGGTGATAAAGTTTATAACACTGGAGATATTTTAATTTCCACTGACTGTACACATTGTACATGTATATCGGGATATCTTTGGTGTGAAGAACTGTGTCCAGTTAGTGACATAACTTGCAAACCTGGTGAAATGAAGAAACAATGGAGCGAGCAAATTCCTGATAGTAAATGTTCTTGTACAAGATTGAAGTGTGTCAAGAAAGCTGATGGTATAAATGATTTGTTTTATAGTGGCACTGATTACTCTCTATCTATCAAGGTTTTTAAGAAGTAAAATCGTCTGTCATTAGCCAGAGTAAAAGGAGCAACGTTGGTAAAACTGCCGGTTATTGGAGATCGCATTTGATCGCACTTGTGTCGGTATAGTAAAATTGTCTGGAATCAGGTCAAAGTAAAATAGAAGTACGATCGAACAGTCCCTGTAGTAGATAAAACGTTAAACCGCGTTAATCTGAATGCCATCCGAAACACGTATAGTTTTGGTATTGTTCGATGTGCCCCTCCCCGGAAAAAAAAGGAAATGGAACCAGTCAAACACGAATAATTGTCACAACCCAATTCAAAATAGGCCAATGTCAGAGGAATTTTCCTTAACCATTTATTTTATTTCTTAGAATTCTGTGAGTTTTTTGGCGAAAGACACAAAGTCGGAGAGTTTTTCATACCTAAAGACTGTTCTGGATACTGTCGATGTAATGAACCCACATCTTTTATATGTTCATCTTTATGTCCGCCGGTAGGTATTTACTGTATACCTGGTACACGAAAAGTACGAACAGTTACACCTGTTGGGCGCAATTGTACTTGTCCTTACTGGAAATGTGTCAAAGGTGAGTTTTATTTTAATACTTAATTTGTCAAAGCATATATAACAAAAAAGAAAAAGTCCAGAATGTTAATGCTTCCTTCTTTACCTAATTTGTTATTTCGTATTTATTCCCGTAATTCATGCAAACTACAGTACAGGGTGTCTCAAAAAAGTGAACCTTTAGAAATCACCCTTTTCCCACCGGGCACACGACGTTGTTTCAACGTTGAAATTTGGCAGAAAAAAGGTTGCGACGTCGACAACCTAATATCTACGTTGCTCTGACGTTGTTTTACAAACATTGGTTCAACAGCAGCCAACAGACGTTGAATTAACGTTCATTCATGGTTAAATGTACGACGTCGATTTGTGAACCAATCTCAACGTTGTTTTAACGTGGATTCAACGTTGAATTATGGTTGACGAGATTGGCAACCTAATTTCAACGTTGTTTCAACGTCGAAACAGTAACGTCGATCCAATTTGCATAGTCAACCCTTTTTCAACGTCTATCCAACGTCTGGAAGGTCATTTCCAACGTTGATTCAACGTTGGATAAACGTCATTTTGCCCGCTGGGTTGTTATTAAACACCTAAACTCGATTCCATTGTGTTTACGCACCCATGGGTTCAGTATAGGACTGAGGCATTCAAATTATAACAATAAGGTGAATTTCTAAAGTTCACTTTTTTGAGACACCTTGTATATGTTTTCAGCGTATTGGTTTGACTATGCAATTAATGACAAGCGTTGACATCTGATCACCACATAAGAAAACCTTACGGTCTAATTGAACGTCGATTAGGGACAAAAGGAAAAAAGGAAAGGAAAACAAAAGAAAAAAAGTCGTGCAAAGAAGAAATCAAAGAAAACTATCAGTAAAATTCCGCAAAAAATTCCTGCACAAGCAGCCAAGCAGAAACAAATTTCGTGCAAGCTCAAAACTACTCCCCCCCCCCCCCCCGATCACTTTTTTAATGGTCCGCCCTTTAGCTGAAACGTAGCTATATATTCTCACTGCTCGCTTCCCCGCACGCACGATACCTTTAACAGCTACTGTAGAAGGAATATTGAGATTGGGGTTAAATAATTTTCAGCCAAAGGTAGAGTGCGGGGAAGCCAGCTCCGAAAATGTCGCAGCCGAGGGGAGGTGGGAGGTGCAGTACACATGCAGTTTTTTATCTAAATAACTTTTCATATTATGACGATTGACGAATTCAATCAACATGCAATTAAAGTGTGTAATATTGAGCTCTTAAGTATTGTGTAACGTGCCGCGTTTAACGAATTTTGCAGAAAAGCACGAAAACGTTCTTTATTTACATAGTGGAGAACATGTGGCGTCCTTGGTCAAATTGGACAGAATGTGATGCGGAGTGTGGTGGTGGCCTGCGCTTTAGATTCAGAACATGCATGAAAAATCAAAAATGTTTCGGACCAAGAGTAGAAACAAAAGTCTGCAATGTAGCACCATGCAGTCCATGTGAGTATCATTAATAAACTAAACTGAACTACACTAAATTAAAACTAATCTAACTTCATTTGAACAGGATATAGCTCTGTCAGTTTTAAATGGTTTTTAGAGATCCAGTAAGGGCAACTCTTTACTATTAATGTAATGTTACGAAAGAAGGAACCCCCATGGAAAAACACTATTTTAACTTGATTCCCGTATCGAACTATATGAGGCAGATGTGATATTAACCCAGACAAATGTATTGCAACTCCCTGTTATACATGCTGTTTACAAAATACATGTTTCCGTGTTGTGACCATGTATCACGCGGCAGGTGGTAGGAAAATGAACGTTGAGAGACTAGGAACATTTTCAGTTTTTCATACACTCCATACATACTTCATCTGAGGATCTTTAAGGTCCTTTTCATCTGCAATTTTTGCTGCGACGTTCTTCTTCAGATGGATGTGAACGAGTGGATGAGTTATGAATGTTTATATGAGGGTACATCCAGGGACGCCGGAACTGGGGGGGGGGGCAGGAGGGGCAGCGGCCCCCGTTGCCCTTTACCAGGAGGGGCAAGGGGGGCAAAGGTGCCCTTTCAATTTAAAGGATTGCCTTTGCGAAATAGAGAATTGTCAGAAAAGCTAGTGCAATTTTTTACGAATCTGCTTCAGAAAACGCAAGAAATGCAGTCATCGAGCTTCAAGAATAGCACAATCGCCTGGCAGAGAACCCCCTCACACCCCTATCATCCAATAAATGGAAAACATGATTAGGCGAAGTTCAACTCCCGATGTTTTGCAAACATCTCTTAGTATATATCAATTCAAAAGTGCCCTTTCACGAAAATCTGCCCCCTTGCCTTCACATCGTTCCGGTGTCGCTGGACTGCAACGAATGTCGACGTTTGCGACCCATAATAGCCAAAAGTAATCGAGTATCCATACAGTAACGTTTTAACAAATATTGCTGCCCAACCTCGTACCCAGGCTCTTTTCACTACGCGCTTCGCTTTAAAAAAGTAACATAAGAACAAAATAATTAAGAAAATAGCGAGGCGCGTAGTGGAAAGAGCCCGGGTACGAGGTTGATGCTGCCCAGAAAAATTAAGTCTGAGAAGCAAGTGCCCTTTTGAAATGGCTGCCCCCGCCGCTTCACATTTCTTCCGGCGCCCCTGGATACATCAGTGATATCCGTATATGTACTTCGAACATTCGTAACTCATCTACTCGTTCACATCTATCAGAAGAAGAAAATCGCACTAGAAATCACAGCAAAAGTTACAAGTGTAAACGGGCCTTAAGGAATAATCATATACTTACCACTCTTTGAGATGTTTTATGCACTTTTGAGAAACATTTGAAAAAGGCAAATTTAAGATCCAATGAACATTAAATGGCATAAACGCTTTTTCTTCGACTGCAGGCTGAAACGATTCCGGGTTATTTTTCGTATCATAATTATTATTTGGTTGTTGTTTTCATACTTGCTATAGAGAGGTTCAGATTTGACTTCCACTACCGCCACTCTGCACTACCGCTAACACTACCTCTCACTGGCTTAGTATCCATCTGATCCTGATTGTTTAATGGTCCCTTAATGGTAGCGGTAGTGCCGTAGTGGAAGACAAATCTGAACGTCACTAATATCCATATAATTACGTATACCTTATGTTAGCACTATACCTTCAATCGTAATTTCAGCATATACTGGTGCTCCATGTGGTGCACTGAGAATAAATTCGGCAGAAGGTGACATTTGGCCTCGTTGTGATGATCAAGGTTACTTCGAACCTCTGCAGTGTGACCCCAGTAGGAGCGAGTGTTGGTGTGTTGACAGATTGGGCAATGTGAAGCCAGGATCAAGGCGTATTTCACAGAAACCTCAGTGTGGCAACAGCGGCACTCTACAAGGTAAAGCAAGAAAAAGCTTATAAACCATATAGTTAATCTGTGAGTAAAACGACTGGCTACCTATAGGCTATCAATCAATTTTTCATTGACAAGTTTTAAAACTGTCTACGATACCCGATATTTCAAAAGCGAATTTCAAAATAATCGTGATTGATAAATTAATAGCAATGGCTTTTCGAAGATGAGTACAATTACTTGTCACGTTTTCCTGGATGAAAAGCTGCCATAACCGGATACCTGCACTCTGCAGCTTTGCCTTTGGAACACGACTCCTTGTCAAGGAAAAACTTGTCAATTGTGGCTGACTGACGAATGAATAGAACTTGCATCATCATGCTCGTCTGTACGAGGAACTCTTCACAGTAACAGAGCATCAAGCACGCCTCGCTAATTTTAACAACTCATCCTTCTAGCAAAACCAAAAATTTAGTAACACTAACGATCGCGATTATTTCTATTTTTTAGTTTCTTCTAAACCATGAAAGAACATCGTGTCCCAAAGGATGAAAGCATACAGCACAGGATACATTTTGGAGTATACCGAGTATATAGACCTTCATTTCTCAGATTTCTTAGATTTTTTATGAATTGTATACATGCATGAAGAGTAATGTAGTTATACTAGTAATGTTACATTTGCGCTTATTATACTTAGTGATTTTACATTTTAAAACATGAAATGATTACCTGTTTTATGTAAAATTACAGTTTAATTTCTGAACAAAGGCAACATTACACGAGTGGCTACCATATAATACCTATCATGTAATTATTATTCTGTATTGCAAACTGACTTTAAAAGAAAGAACGAGTGGCATGTATGATTGACGTGCTGACCTTAAATCGTAATGTTTGAAAAATCATGTAAGTAGAGTTTGGTTGGTTCTCTCCTCTACGAGGTTTTTCTCCTGGTCCTTCGGTTTTCCTCTCTCACTAAAGGCCATTTTCCATTGCAGTCGCTTTGCCCGCGCGGGCGGAGCGACCAATTTTAATCACGTGAAAAGAACTACAGAGAAAGTTGAGTAATGTTCGCTCCGCCCGCGCGGGCAAAGCGACTGTAATGGAAAGTGGCCTTAACGCACCAAAGTAAACGGATCTGACCAAATCCAGTCAATTGGGGCTATTGGTGCAATATCTTATATTCCGAGCAACTGTAGCGTCGTGTGAGGCTCTGGGTAAAGCTAGGACGAATTTTTCACTAAAATCAACTGAATCAAAAACTGATTCAGAAAAGATCGTGACCCTATCTTTGCAACCGTTACGACCATATCGTACTGATATGGTCGTAAGAACAAGGAAATTAGGACATGGACAGCAAGAACTGGAAATTAGGTATAATTCAGAGATACTTTGACAGTGACTTAGGATAAATCGGGCTGAGACGACGGAATGTGAAGATTTCGGGGCTGCTTGCCAGCAGGACCGCCAAGAGGTTGCGCGGAGCCCGGGGCAAAAATTTCCCAGGGGGCCCTTATGACGTCATAAGTGTAAAATGAGAGAAGTGGTGTTTTACAATATATTACACTTTATTGCATAGGTAAGCAATCTTGTATCAAAAAATTTAAGGGTCTTCGTTGCCCCCCGCTTTATTTTGAACTGGGGGCCCAGGGCAAAGTGCCTTCCCCCTTGATGGCCTTAGCTATCAGAATGTATGATTAATGCCATGTTTGAACATGCACTGTGGCCATCCAGCTTGATAGTTGTCTGTTTGCATTAGGCCTCTCATGCACGCCATAAAAATTGAATGTCTACATTCTACTTTCGTGCACCCATGACTATATAATATATATAGCTAATAACACATTACTTGTATAGGTCCCTTGTCCCACCCAGGTAAAGCAACCGTAAGATTTACCTGTTAGAAATGTTAATATAAACATTTACATGTAATTATAATTTTTAGTATAGAACAGCTTAATTCAAATTCCCAATTCTTTAAAAATCAGGGGAATTTGACAACAATCACTCAGCTATAGCTATTTCTATGTAGACAGAAGAAGTGCTACTACATGTATAACACCATTTAATAAAGTTTACCCATATAAGTATAATAATAATAATATAATAGTGCTATTCATTCTTGGTTTGACTTTCACTGTTAGTTTTGACATTCACTGATAAAGTTACTCATTATTAGTAGCTTGACTTTCACCAATAAGTTCAGTAGTCTTGAGAAAATCAACCATTTTGTTGATATCATCACTAGATACCAAATTCAAGCTCTCTCTTGGAATTCGACTGCTGAGGAATGGACTGGGTTGAACACCAGTGTTACTTGTTACAAATCTAAACATCGTTTCCACTGATTCAGCTTGCTCGTCTGGTTCAACTTTGGACAACTCATCCCACGTGAAGAGCAGAGGATCTGTTATGTTTCCAAAAGGATTAAAATCCACCAGTTTTATTACTTGACTTGACTTGAGGTATATATCAAATACATAACTATTATCTGGAAATTTGCCACATATCTTTTTCTGAAAAAATTCCTTGATCCGGGAGTGTATTTCATCATAGTTTTGGGCAATATACGGGTAATGACTGGCTGTGTCACGTTGTGATATGGCTATTATATGACCTTTCTTAACGAAACAACGAAACTCTGTTGAGGAAGATATTTCTTGCCACTTTCTGAGAACCAAGACAAATCCAGATGATTCCATCAAGGTGTTATCTTCCCCATCTTCACATTTTCTGAATGGATGATTAATATCATGACTTACTCTATCTGAGCTATTCAACAGTAAGTATACATCTGAAGCAGTTGTGCACTTCAAAGTGCCATTGTAACTAATCCAAGCAGCATCTCTGGGAGCACTCCAGTTTAGTTTAGGAAAGGCTTCACCTCCTAGGTCTTTTATAGCATCTTCAATTTTCTTTGTAAGCTCAGTAAAATCTGGGGCAGTTGCCGTTGCTGTGTTGCAATCGTCTGCTGCTGTCCAATCTTCAGACTCAGAATCACTGTCACATTGTATTCCCTCCTCATTTTCATTGCCTGGCAATACGACGCCATCTTGATTTAAATAGTCAATAAATTCAGCTTGAAGAGGAATTATTTTGCTTCGTATTGAACAGTTTTTGAAACCATTATACCAAGTCGGGAGTTGACAATTCAGGACGTGTTTCTGTTTCATGTTTCAACTTTATAAATGACTATTCTCTTTCCATTTTGTAAACACTTTAATATTTGCTACACGCAAGAAGACCAGAAAATGATGCAATAACGCACAGTAATTTATTACAATTTATGGGAGTAAGGTCCAGAAAGGGTATAAAGGGGTATAAGGGGACAAAAGAGGACAGGTGATCATTTTGTACTCCAGGACAAGGTTAAGATCTTCAGATTACTGAAAACAAGCTACTTTTAGAAAAATTGCAACTGCTCAAAGTGATGATGATGCATATAATACTTCATCCATAATTTATACTTTGCTTACATATTGACATTGACATTTTGATGCTGATACTTGGTCACTTACATATATATATATTGACATTGACAGAATTTAATGCAGTATACTATTATAAGCATTAATAAGTGAGAATGTGCCACTATTGTTTCAAACATGTCCTATTGTCCTGTGAGGCTGTGACACGGACAAACAGTAAAGTTGTCAACAGACAAACAGACAAATGTCACAAACACTGTTACAAAATTTTGTTTTGGGTGTCCTGTTCATTTTTCGACACGTGACGTGATCAGCTGACCCGAAGCGAAAATCGAAAGAAGCTGGAAGCAAGAAAACATGGCGGCCGTTTCGGCCATGAAATGGAAGCGTATATCGAGTTCTGCAGGTCCGCAACCTCGTCCTCGTCATGGCCATCGTGCTGTAGCTATACGAGAGCTTATGGTTGTGTTTGGTGGCGGCAACGAAGGGATTGTTGACGAACTTCATGTTTATAATACTGGTACGTTTCAAGTGACTTTGTTTAGAAATTCCCGCCGAATAGTACGTCGTCCGGTCGTTACATAAAGTAATTAGCTATTGAGATTTGCTAGTTATTGCTTTAAAACTCTTGATATTATTGCTTTTATTTAGCTTCAAACCAGTGGTTTGTGCCTGCTATTCGAGGAGATATTCCATCCGGATGCGCGGCCTATGGCTTCGTCTGTGATGGAACGAGACTTTTCGTTTTCGGTGGTATGTTGGAGTATGGAAAATATTCGAATGAGGTTTGACAAAATTTCCAATTGTATAAGTTTTTGAACAGAATAAATCTTATATAATCACAATTATGTGTGCAATGAATTGCCGAGAGTTTGATTTTGAGTGATAGCAAAGATCGTTTACGTGTGGTATACTCATGAGAGAAATCAAAACAATATGGCTGCGCAGTTCGGCGCCAAGTCTGAAAATGTATAAATATTGAAGGATGCTATACACGCTTGGTAACGCGCATATTTCCGGAGTCCTATTACCAATTATGTTTATAAATTTGTCAGCGAAATTTTGTTCCACCACTGGAATGCATCTGTTCCAGAAGATTTGAAAATGATTTATTTATGTATATGATATACAGTATATCAGTGTATTTTATAGAGTCACTTGAATATCAATGCTTTCCAGGGGCAGATGTTCAAAGCTGGATTAGCGTTAACCAGTATTAAAACAACTGGTCCTAGATTGGAAATATATTTGTGTTTATGTTAAATATATTCACCATGCCTTTAGCCGGCTTTCCCTCCATTGGCATATACCCTGGGTTAATGTACTGGAGTACAGTACAAACATTCTAGGCATGGATTGGTATAAATATTGATCAGATGAACAATAGCTGCCATAGTGTGGGTGGTTAGAGCCTAAATATGGCACATTTATACTATATAAGTGCACTGCATGAAGACTATCACACTTTTTATATGAAGTGAAATATAAATACGCTTTTTTCCAACAGTCTTCCAGCTGTTGCCAGTAGTCTAGCAGTTGCTTGGGTTCAATTCCTGCAGGAGTTGTTCTTTTCACGCTGTCTGTTTTTCTTATTTTTACTAAATCGTGAAACAGCTTCTTTAAAAAAGCTTTTTATTTTTAATACAATAACTACTCAAACCTTTTAAACTGGTTGGGGCACAGCCTATGCAGGTATATGTGCCATTCCTGTATTTAGGTGCAAGTATATGGATGTTCTAACTCCTAATCACTAATTAGTCATGCAATAGAAGACAACAAAATCTGCATGCTGTTGCTACTTTACATAGTATGTTGGAGAAATAGCAAATAATATTATTATTTTCACTTTAAGTCTTTGACCTTGATCAGTTGATTAATGAAATCAGAATATGATCTTCATGAAGGATAGAAACTGTTGCCAATATCAATTATTAAATTGTCAGATCTGAGGCTGTGAAGGGTAAACTTATGCAGCTTATTTGAAATTGAAGAACCATAAAAAGTATTTCTATTTTTAATTAGAAAACAATAGTGATAGGAATTAGAAATGACATTTGATGTGTATGTGATTTGTTTTATATATTTCAGCTATATGAACTCCAAGCCACTCGATGGGAATGGAAAAATCTGAAACCAAAACCACCTAAGGGTGGATTAATTCCATGTGCTAGACTGGGTCATAGTTTCACTTTGGTTGGCCACAAGGTTTATTTATTTGGTGGATTAGCCAATGATAGTGAAGACCCCAAGTGCAACATTCCCAGGTAATTAATGTTGATCATTATATGGGCATAAAAAATGTCAGGGATTGGTTGAAAAGTTCACAATAGTGAACAACAATTTTTAAGTAGCCAGTAGTTTTTGATACCATTTTGAAAGCTTTATTTGTAGCTGTAGTTAACACATTTTGTATAGCCAAGGAGTAGAGGTGAGCCGATCATCGGCAAAACCGATTAATCGGCTTGTTTTTTCACAATCATCAGCCGATTGTCTTCCACCATTTGTATGGTCAGCGGTGTAATAAAAAAATGAAATTCAAATATTTGGTGTGGAAACAATTATCGAAATGAAAGTGGAAACACTATGTTTACCGATTTCCTGCGTTTTTTCATAGTTGTTTTCTCACTTTTTTGGCATTTCTGCAAGATTTATTAATTAAATTATTGTGTTCCGTAACTTCCGTTGACCAGCCAGTAGCACGCTGTGGATTTCAGAATCAGTGTTAAAAATGTCGCTTCCTGTTTCTGCATGTTTTGAGTCTTTTGACGAGAGGATACATTAGTAAAAAAAAATTAAGATGACCATCGGGTTTGCCGATTAATCGCCGATGGTGGGTAAATATCGGCTGTTAACAATCGGTATCGGTAATCGGCTTTTTTTAGACATTGGCTCACCTCTACCAAGGAGGTTAAAAACAAAATTAAATGAAAGATGATTTGGTTGCCTGAATATATAGGGTAAATAAAATTAAAATGAGTACCATGATTATGATATAAAATCATTGAATAGGCCTGTTTGAACCAACCTAATGTTCGTCATCTTACAATGTAACATATGTAATTTTGGGTTTGTATGAAAATGTTTGGAGATGTTAGATAATGTTAGATTTCACAGAAACGAGAGTAAATTATGTGCATAAAGAGTCATAGCAAGATGAGAAACAGCAAAAACTAGATCTTCACCATGGTCAAAATGAATATTGTTTATGATATTTAGGTCAGTAAGTCAGGCATCTTTTAACTGACAATTAGAAAAATTTGAATTAATTAAAAGTCAATGATATACCTTCAGTAATAGTGGGAGCAATGTCTTAGCTAGGATTTAATATAAATATGATTTTTAACATCTATAAATCGTTTAATTTTTTACACTACACTGGACTGATTCACATTGATCACACAGGTGTGATCTGTGAGTCCTTATGTTTTCTTTCTTCGTTGTAACTCACCTCTTTGAACTGTTAAATCTGGTCATCAGGTAATATTTCTACTTTGAAAATGCTGATCTTTTGACGCAATGCAAAAGTTGAGAACTTCAGCAAATTGCATCCCTCTTAAGGTGGCAGCTCCCTACAGTTGTTTAAGCATGGGACTGGTAACGAAATGATATGATCTTGTTGAGTTGAAATTTTATCACATCAGCAAAAATTTCATTTGACCGTGCAAGGTTTGTAATGCAAAAACTTTTTTCCTTTGGTCAGTATTTCTGAAAGTTTGCAATATACTCAATTTTTAAAAAATTCTATAAAACAGTTTTTGTGGAACAAATTTTGCGTAATATCTCAAGAACTGAATTTATAATCCCCCTAATTTTTTTATACAATCTTCCACTAGATATTCCCTTTCACCTACAAAATTTCAGAAACTTGGACCAAAGGAAATTTCAATAAATTCATTTTTAATCCAAAATTTGATCTTTATCTGCTGTCGCTTAGGCCACATTGTTACCATAGCAACACACAATTTGCTTCTTTCGAACAATTATGCTTGAAGTATAAAGATTATGCAAGCGTTTCTACTTCCAAAAAAATCCCCATTTCACATAAAGAGCAAATATTTTGCATCATTATGAAGACCTTATTTTTCACTGCTGTTTCTTTGCAATTGTAGGGAGCCACCTTAAATTCAAAAAAATAATTTCTATTGTGGATGACATACTGCATCTCTTATCCCGCTGTGCGTCTTTATTTCATGAACAGCGAGGGATAATATCCTGTTGAATGATGATGATGGTATTACTACAATCGAGGTTGTTGGCATGTGAATACTACAATCAAGAATTCCATTTTCATTGATAAAAAAAGCTAGTTGGGGAATAATAGTAGGCGTACTTACTTTTGTAGAGTGCAGACGTGCTTATTTAACGTAGCTCCGCAAAATTTGATTTTAAAGCTCACTAAGGATATCGCGACTTATACAGAATTTAATTAAGACAACAATACTGTACAAAAGTAAGGATTGACGGCAAATATATGGCGGGCATATAACAAACAAAGTGGTCAAATGCAACAAAGTGAACATGTTCTTGGACAAGCCTACGCTATAGACGGTAGCTTTATATACAATACAGCGAGTGCAGTACATTAATCATGTGCAAATGTAGAGAAATTCAGAGGAACTAGTACTTAACAAATCAACGTTTAGAAGAGAGGACGATATTGCAAGAGTGTTTTCCAAGCTGATGTTCGGATGTTCCAAGGGAAAATTCATGCAGCTATGCGTTTCTTCACCGCAAGGGCAGTCTTCTCAACATCACCGATGATGTTTTAGATCGACTCAAGATGAAGCATCCAAGTCCTGCTGAAATTCTCAAAGAAAGCCTGTTATATGGTCCAAGTACCTGTTATAT